TACAGCCACTCCTAGTGTGGATATTGCATTCACCTTGTCCATCTGTTGGTCCATTACAATTATTCCCATCACACTTTTCTCAAGTACAACTGAATAGAGTTCACTTCATATTTTGGTTCATCTACATGTAGTAGAGTTGAACAAGTTTTGTATTTAGGTCATATATAGATAAATTTAATTTGAATTATGTGGACCATTTGTTAGAACAGGATAGCTATAAATATTAATGTCACAGTAGAACATTTCTCCAGCAAATGCATTAAGCCTCTTCTTTGCCTTTATGGAAGAAAACAGTTTGTCATAAAATCAAATAGGCTAGTAACCTAGAACCCATGACCCTTTCTTTTAAGATTAAAATTCTGTCCTAACTTGTTCAGGGTCAGAAATATAGAAATACAAAAATATGAAATTGAAAATTCATGACAGAGAAGAAAGATGACGTATTTATCTCTGATTTGAATTTGTAATAATTAAATTAATTTCATACATGAAAAATTATCAATTTGACTTTCAAATCCATGAATAAAAACGTACGCGTACTGAAAAGGAAATTCCAGTTCTTAGTTGATCTCTCAGGGTGTGAATAAATTACATTTTTACTTACCACAAATATACATTAAAATTTGAATACTTTGTATGATGAAGATTATTATATACTTAAATGTCATTCAAGTGATACAATATAAGTTAACTTGGTTTTTGAGGTTTTAGAAAAAACCTGTACAAGTTATTTTAGTACATGAATACTGGCATAATTGTACATCAGACCTGGCTGTGTTTGTTTATTAATGATTTGAAGTTCAAATCAAGGTTAACCATTTCAATTTTTGGTATACCAAGCAACTAAGCTTATTTCAGTGCTATAGTATTCTTAAAAATACCTATGGTCTTTTGAACAGTTTTACAGAAAACAGACCTGATCTACATTTTCATTTTGAGAATACATGGGTTAGGGGATGCAAGAAATCACTTGAAGTTAAATACATATGGCATTTTCTACTGATGTAACTTGCTCTAACAAATGTACTTGATAAGCCACAAAAAAATAAAATGGAAATTGTTAGAACATATTTGAGAATTCTATTTTCTGGAATTATTGAAATTGTTTCTCATGATCCAGGCACGACTGGAATATCCTAATAAATTTTTAAATTCCATTAATATTTGATTTTTTGCAAAGTAGAGAAAGGTAAAGTATGCCTAAAACCTTATTGAAAAATTGTTTTTTTCTTAGGAAAGTTAATTTAACCATTGTATTTACAATTAAGTAATCAAGTTTGTGAATTTTTAACTCCAGAGATGAACAGGTCACATTTTTTAACCAGAAACTGTAAAATTGTTTTAATTCTGGACAAAACTTAAATTAGATTAGAATTTGGTATGGCATAAGAAGATAAAACTAATGGCATATGTAGTGTATATGTTTTCACAATGTTTTGTTTGTGATAAAAAAAGTGAAAAAAGAAAGGAATTTTGTATCAAAATCTTCATTTTCAAAGAAAAATATGTTGTACTATTCCTGTATTATAATCATTGTGTCATCTGACAGTATCCCTCTGTTGCTAGCGATACATACGGGTCACATTTTTCAACTATCAATGCTAAAAGTCAAAAATTGTACTTATGAAGAATGCTAATTACTTAAAATGACAAGATTACATTGCTAATTTTCTTAATTTATAATTCAAATATTTATATATATACAAGTAAGGCAAGTAATTTAAGGCAGCTAGGCCATAAGGTCAAAGGTATTCTAGTTCTCATAAAAACATGATAAAGTAGACCTATGATACATGGCATGTTATTGCACCTCACGAACTTAAGAAATCAATGTCATAATACAATTTAAAAAACCCTAAGATAAATAAATGTATTGTGTTTGATCACTTCTATAAATTGCATGCATTAGTTTTTAAAGAGTCAGTTACTGGATAGTTTTTAAATCATATTTATCTCTGGTGTTCATCACAATCTTTAAGGATTTATATTAAGATATCTCCTGCATTTTGACACCTTTATCGGTGGAGTCTTGCCCACCCCAGATTTTAAGTACATGTACTAGACTGTAGAGAATACAAAATTAAATTTAAAAAATTAGTATTTTAGGGGATGAAGAGAAATGTACATATAATACTTTTTGAAAATTGTACGATTTTTTTTTACTATAAACAGCCAAAGTATTGGAAAAGTTCATATTTCTAGTACTGGTGATTTAAGTTCAAATTTTCTTTGGTTTTCAAATTTCTGCACTCTATTGACATCTTTATGAAGTTTAGATGCTCCATCAAATTTCCAGAGTTTATTTACCAAAAATATGCTGTCTAACAATGAAGTTGACAGTAACAAGTGTCAGCTTGTAACCAACCATACAATTTTATCAACATTCTTAATGGGATGGCCTGTACCTAGGGTTAATGTATGGACAATTCAATAGTGTGGTACCCTGGTCCACAATAAACTATTTACCTTTGTTCACTTGTATACCTTTACTATACATGTATTTATTTACTCACAAAGATTATCGGCAGTAAGATTTATTTTGCAGAAAAAAAGTGACATAATACAATTTAACAGGTCTTGCATAATTAAATTGCAGGGTACTTTAATTCCACTAAAGTTTTTAATGTGTCCATAAATGGATTTAAACACAAGCATTCATATTTGGTAATCTGATAAGGCCACTAGAAGGTTTTGGGATTATTATTAAGTAAACGGTATAAAACTAAAGATCAGTAATGTGACAACCTTGTCTCTTATTTAAATTAAAGACTCGTTATTCATTCTCTTCAAGGCAAATTATTTATTCTTTTCACTTGCATTCAGATCTTTGTTGGTAATATGTGTCAAACATTTAAGTATGTACTTTTGCATTAGTCATGAGAATGTTTTAAATATTTTGACAGCATAATAATACAATAATTTAGAGCAAAATCTCAAGAATGGTTTATGTAAAGAACTTAATGTTTCAAAATTAAAAATTATGGTTAATTTCATAATGTACAATTTAAAAAAAAATCCCAAAAGCTTTGACTAAAGTCAACATTTATATGAATATAACAAAGAGTGTGTATAAGTCAAACTATATTTAATAACACTGACTGCAAAGGCTAATGTTTTTTTCAGTGTCTCAAATTCAGATCAAATTGATGTCTAATAGGTTTTCTTACTCCTATTTTTGCATATTTTTCAAAGGAGTAGGCCCGAAAAGACCCCTTTTTGGCCCCAAAATATAGCATTTATACAAATTTGTTAAAAATGTACACTTTTAGCTATTTATTGGAAAGTATAATACTTTTGTTACATAAACATAGGCTGTTTTTGACAATACAATGCACATACATCAGGTACTAGCATCATTAATTGACATGCAAAATTAGGCTACTGAAATTTTTACAATTCTAGCATTTGTGCTAATTTTTAAACGGTTTTTGTCTATAATGGAAGTGGCCTCACTTGTGTTCAGTCTTAATATTTAAATATATGTTGTATTTGATGATGATACATGCCATATACAAAGGTTGAGACTGAACATGAATGTGGCCACTTAAATTTTAGATAAAAACTATCTGAAAAGTGAAGTTAAGGCATATTTGATACATTTTTCATATATAAGGTTGAATTTGAGTGTTTTTAGGACCAAATCAGTTCAAATCTTTTATATAAAAAATGTCCATTGAAGATACATAAACCAAAAAAAATAGGTTTAAACATGTATCACTGGAGGACTTATAAAAGATAACGAACTTGAAATCTAAAATCGCTGAACTGAAGTGATGAAAGACTGTTGGGTAACAGGGTTGCATGTATTTGCAATTTGCAGAGGGAAATTAGCACATGCAATTTATCACTTAAAAGTTTTTCTAGCATAGTCTAACGCCAGTAGCTGCTTCGTGCTTTCGTGTAGTTAATAATTTACGTTGGGTGTCAGATGATTACTGAAACTGATGGGTAATCACTTTACCTTAATTGAGTAGTTCTAAATTATTCATAAGGTGATGAGAGTAGTTTGTTTGTTAAACAAAAAAATATACAAAACGTGACATGCAGACATTTCTATTAGAAAATACATGAACAGGTTTGCATGCAGTCATATATTTGTATTCAAATATTGTCTCAAGTTTTTAGTTTACCCATGCACACTTGTAATAAAGTAAATAGATTAATTGATTTTCAGTTCATTTATTTTATCAGTTAACTGTTTTGATTGTTGCCAAATGCTATTTTTGTGATTATATTGTAAAAGGAATTCTAAGTAACAAAAATAGGAAGTTGTAATTTGAAGAGATTGTGTTATATTTGCAAACAAAAAAAAACATCACGCATGAAATGAACCTAGTAATGACAAAATCTATGGCTGTTTAATCATTTTATGATTGTTAGATATAATATTTTCAAACACCAGGAAGTTAAGAGAAGGAAATTTTGTGTTATTATTTTCAGCCTGCAATTTTATATCGACTTGCTTCTTGGAAAAAATTGGATGGAAAATTAAATTCCATGCATGTGAGGGAATATTAAATTTCACGCTGAGCTGTGATATTTTTACATTTTATTTAAGAGTAATTTTTCTATGAAATCACTTTATCAATTGTTTTCAGAAAGATGCTTAAAGATATAGATTTTTGATATCTCATGTAGCAATTTTACAAGTTAAAAGATAAAAATGGCATTGAATACAAAATCAATCAAAAATATGCACTATGATCCGTGTCCATGGGGTCACTGTCAAAATGGTGTTAAAATGAAAGTTAAGTAACCATTATTAAATCTTAACCAGAGTACTATCTGTATATTCTACTAAGAACAAAATCATTACATACATTTACATTTTATTTGATCTCTGGTTAGTCCAAGATTGCTTTGATGTCTGAGGGCCCTTTTTAGGACTTGCTTGGGCCCCGGCAGTCATACATCAAAGAAACCTTGGACCTATCTCTAATCTCTCCGACTTCTTCCAAGACAATACAATTTCTATAAATGATATTGGTGTATATTTTTAGAGCCAAGAAGACATAGTATTTGAGACATTTTACCATAGAAGTGGCAGGGAGTTCCAATGCATGTATTTAAATGGTATGAGATTCTACCTGGATGATTGGGGATCTAAGGTAAGCTTATGAAGAGTGCACACGCTGAAATGTCTCGCCTACTATACTGACCGTTGATTTTTTGTTGATAGTCCTAAATATAAAGTTTTAATACAAGTATCATATTAACATTTATGATCCATGAAAACGAGGTCAAGGTCAGATAAACCAAGCAGTAAATACATGTACACCTTTCATACAATCATTCCATACACCGAATATAGATGACCTATTGCTTATAGTATAAAAGAAATAGACCAAACCATGGAAATTTTATATTGACCAATGAACCATAGATTGAGGTCAAGGTCAGATGAACCCTGCCAGTCAGACATGTACACCTTAAAATCATTCCATGCATCAAATATAGTTGACCTATTGCTTATAGTATCTAAGAAACAAAGTAAACCAGGAAAACTGAACATTGACTAATGAACCATGAAAATGAGGTGGAGGTCAGATGATACCTGCCAGACAGACATATACACCTTACAATCATTCCATACACCAAATATAGTTGACCTATGGCTTAAAGTTTAAGAAAAACAGACCAAAACACAAAAACTTAACATTGAGCAATGAACCGTGAAAATGAGTTCAAGGTCAAATAAAAACTACCAGACTGACATGTACATCGTAAAATATTTCCATACACCAATACACTTATAGTTTCTAAGATACAGACTTAACCAAGAAAACTAAACTAAACATTGACTAATGAACCATGAAAATGAGGTCAAGGTCAGATGAACCATGCCAGGCAGACATGTACAGCTTGCAATCCTTCCATACAACAAATATAGTTGACCTATTGCTTATAATAATAGAAAAACAGACCAAAACACAAAAACTTTACATTGAGCAATGAATCATGAAAATGAGGTCAAGGTCAAATAAAACCTGCCAGACTGACATGTACTTCGTTAAATATTTCCATACACCAAATATAGTTGACCTATTGCATACAGTATTAGAAAAACAGACCAAAACACAAAAACCAAACTTTTACCACTGAACCATGAAAATGAGGTCAAGGTCAGATGACACCTGCCAGTTGGACATGTACACCTTACAATCATTACATACACCAAATATAGTAGACCTATTGCTTATAGTATCTGAGATATTGACTTGACCACCAAAACTTAACCTTGTTCACTGATCCATGAAATGAGGTCGAGGTCAAGTTAAAACTGTCCTACAGGCATGAGGACCTTGCAAGGTATGCACATACCAAATATAGTTATCCTATTACTCATAATAAGAGAGAAATTAACATTACAAAAAATCTTTACTTTTTTTCAAGTAGTCACTGAACCATGAAAATGAGGTCAAGGACAATGGACATATGACAGACAGAAACTTCATATCATAAGGCATCTATATACAAAGTATGAAGCATCCAGGTCTTCTACCTTCTGAAATATTAAGCTTTTAAGAAGTTAGTTAACACCGCCGCCGGATCACTATCCCTATGTCGAGCTTTCTGCGACAGAAGTCGCAGGCTTGATAAAAATTAGGCCACTGAAATTTAGGAGAGTTTGTTTATCTTATCGTTGATGTCATATTGAATCCCTTATATTTCATTGGCATTATAAGAAATTTATTGATCAACAAAATAAAAACAATAGATCAAGGATTTGCATATCACTATACAAATCCTTGAATAGATTAACTGAGAGTAGAAATGCAAATATTTAAACCTTTTTTCTCTTTTATTTTTAAATTGATCAGATTTCTATTCTGTATGTTTTCTTGTGTTTAGTAAAATTCCTGTTTTCTTTTTTCAATTTTATATCTTTTTTTAAGTCTTTATATAAAGATATCTAGTTCTAACTTGAAATTGTGCCTTTTTACCTCACATAAATGAATATATAATAGGACTAAGATCTAATGACTTCTTTTTCTTAAGACTTTAAATCAAACCTTTGTTTTATGTTATTGAAATTTTCTGTCTTATTTTTGCCCTTGAAAAAAATTTGCAACTTACTTTTTTTTTTTACTCTTTATAACATTTAAAAAAAAAGTAATGTTTATCAGATGTCCACTCTTACAAAGCCAATGGATTGATATTTCTTACCAACCAAGTAGATAAATTACATTGAACAAGGAATTATTTGAACCTGGAATAATTTTGAATTCTGGAAAATTTGTCAGAAATGTTTGATGAAAACTACCCCAACTAAAAGAGGTTAGCCATATGCATGCTGAAGAGGGTTAGTTAGTTCATACTGATATATCAGTGAAAGTATCCTGAACCTTAGCAATGCACCCATGGCTAACCCTCTAAATTTGGGTTAGTTTTCATCATAAATTTCTTATCAATTTTCCGGAATTCAAAATCATTCCAGTTTCAAATAATTCCTTGTTATTATGACATTCACATCATGAATCATTCTGAGTTAAACTATGCAGTTTTAGGAAGTAGGTCACATCAATCTAACCAGAAAGATAATAAAGCGATTCCCATCTCTAGCTTTATAAGTATGGACATATTGCAAATGTGGAATTCAATTGAAAATTTTGAATAATAAAGTAAAAATATAAAATCACTTCAATGAAAAAAATACTGAACTTTTCCTCAAAATTAAACTCAAAATTAAAAAATCAATATACACAGTTCTGACAACATCCAACAATTTAAAAGTTATATTTTTATGAATGATTTGTGGTGTCAAATAAAAAGGAGGTCATGGTTTTATATTGGATAAGTAAATATCATCAAATTGTAAGAAGATGTAAGAAAATATTCTTTTGTAAACAGTATGTAACTATATAAATTTGTTGAAACCACAAAATAGTTATGTCAATAATGATACTGTCGCCAGTTGTTCTATTTGACGGCTACTGTACGATGTGTGTAAGGAAGTTGTAGTAACAATGCTTAATCTATGTTTGTGTACAGACAAGGATTTATTTGAGGTTATTTCTGAATGTAAATATCTACAAAAATAAAACTTCAAGGCTATTTTACATATTTACACTATAATTTTGGTCAAATTTAGAAACAGGATGTGTCTAAAGTAATTTATACCTTGTATGTTCTTATGTCCTTGGTAATGATTTAAATATCTGTATCACATTTATTTGATTTCAATGAAACAGGATTTTTGATAATGCATAAAAAGTATAACAGAAATTACAGAAAAAATTGGTCAGTACATGTACAACAGACCACATTAACTACTAACTGCTGACTCCTTTGTATAAAATACATGTACATTGTACTAACTAAGTCAATTAACAATGAAATTCACTTGGTCCACATTACCTGACTTAATATAGGCACAAAATGTGCTACAAATCATACCTCATCTCCTTATTTTTTAAAGTCTACATTATAGGTAATTTGTGTTATCTGCAATTTATCTTACAATTAAAAGAAACTACAGATGATCAGGGTTTTTAGTCCATATGACTTTTCATTTTCTGTAAAGGAAGTTTGGGACTTTTGGTTGATGTAGGTTTCACCAAACAGATCTCCTGTTGAAAGCTAGACTAAAGCATCACATGGCTAACATGCACATTGAGTTGGGTTTGCCTTAGAAAGAAGAAATTCTATTCACCGCTAGTGAAGAAATTGTTTAAAAGTGATATTGGAATGCTTATGATAGCTAAACAAAAATATATAGAGAACCCATTACTATTCAAAGCTAAGTTCATCGATAGGTGAATGTAATAATTTAGCAGAAATTTAATGAAGTAGGACCAATTTATTTTCTTTTGAAAAGTTTTTTTAAAGTTATAATGAAGTACTTCCGATGATAAATATGTAAAACACATTAGTAAATGGATATGTCTGTCATATTTTGTTTTTTTCATAATAATATGTCTTTAGATTTTTTAACTTCTATGATGAATAGATACTGATTTATTACATGAAAATAATTTCTGTAGTTTCATTGCCCACTTTTAAATTATATCATTTAATATTAATTTTGACACTTTTAATACTTGTGTAATCAAAAGATTTATTTACATGGTTCAAATCAATGCAATGTATGATGTAAAACTGAAAAAGTAGACCAGGAATTCTTCAAATTATAGGTGAAATGTTTAGTTTGCTATTTTTTAAGCCAATCCTTGTGGTTTTAAAATGTATGGTCAATATTTTATATTTGTATGTTCATTAAATTATTCCACAAAAAGAGTACTGAAGTAAAAGGAGAAAATAGAAATAAGTAAATTGAAAATGTGTGATTTTTTTTTTAAGTAATTGTTACATGTCTGTATCTGAGAAAAAAATTCCGAAGTGAACAAAATATGAAATAGACTCTATAATGATTGTTTTTAGTTTTGGAAAAGATAGTGTCTGGTTGTCTGGGCATGGGGTAATTAAAAGCATTCATATTATTTTGTGATTATCTTTCGGTAAACTCCAGATAACTATTTTTAAAATAATGTTTCTGATTCATTGACATGTACATGACATCTCCTTGTGTTTAAACTTAGAGGCCTATAAATTAAAGAATATTCCTATCAAGTATAGTCTCAATATTAATCATCATTTTCAATTACTGTGGAATCATTATTTTTGGTGGGATATCAATGTTATTGGTATTCTTGGGTATTGGTAAACCATGAATTTAAATGTTCCAACGAAGTACAAATCTTCAATAGGCATGCATTCAAACTTTGGCAAAACCATGAATTCAAATATCCACAATAGTACAAGCTTTTCTAAATTCATGAAAAATTGGTACCCACGATAATAAATGACTCCACAAGAGTTAAACTTTACAAGGAGACTTAGGGGAAGTTATTCAACTTCATGTTGCATCAAAACTGAAAGGTCCCTTAAATATGTGTTTTGCGAGCAGAAAATTCATCGCTCAAATCACTTAGTTCAAAAAAAAAAAAATTTATTTGAATTATGTTTCTTCTTATAAATGAATCTGCAAAGACAGGATTGTTCATGTTTTTTCACTGCATTTTTGGGGAATATACATTCATTCCTTTAAGAAGTTAAAGGTCAGCTCAGATTTTCATTTAAAAGTTATTATCTTTTCATGTGAACAAAAACAGATTAAGTCCATTTACTGAATAACCCTTTATTTCAACTTTCCATGTCCTTCTGATAGTCAGAATAAAGAGGAAATCATCCAGAGAGTTGTTTGTATGAGAACAATTCAGCCATGAACAACGTGCCAATGTTGTCATAAGAAATGAACAGTGCAATAATAGTCCTAAGTTAATTAACTAAGTACATTTTAAAAGAATATATCTTAATGGTTATTGATCATAGAGTAGTCTGATTTTGAACCTCGAAAGATTTCATATTTGTTTTTGTTAGCATGTTGCTTGTCAACCGAACGTGAAAAATTGTAGAGACTAAGCACGACTCATTGATTAATAAATTATTTTAAAAGATCAATACATATCTCTTGTTTGTAAGGCCAAAGTTTCCTCTAATATTGTTTAATAAGTTACTGGACAACAGTAATGTGTGATAACTTATTTAAATTTTCCTGTTGAAATGAAACTTCAAGTGTGATTTTTAATCTTTGATGATAAATGTTAAATGACTATTAGATAGTTTTAGTTAGATTAGTCAATGAAAAATTGGTAGTCAAATGCTTGAATGTAGCAAACTTAACTTTTATTACCATTTACAAACTTGTTTCAATTGTTTTCTTAAGGATTGGGCAGTAAGGATCATAAAAATTCAATTTTTATTGATTTTCAATCCTGTTATTTCAATAATTTGAAAGACATAAAAATACGATTTTTGAATTCCATCTGCAAAATTTAAAGATGTGGGGGATGCCATAATGAGCCAGAGGAATCAATCAAAGGACATAAAAACATTTATGGTCAACATCAAGCCCTCGACAATAGACAAATGTCTCTACAAAATTTCAATCTTTGAATCTCCAAGAGTTTAGAAAAGTTATAAATTAATTTAACAGAGACTACCTAAAGATCTAGCTAGCTGCCATCAATGCCAAATTCCATAAAGGGCGAAAAGATATGACTAGAGACAATTATTGGTGGGCTTCCTGACAGACACATCAGTATGTTGCAGGGTAAACTTGTTTTTTGGCCCTTTATTCCTAATATGTGAAAAGGGAAAATCTTGAAATTTAACCCTTTCATTTTTTTGTCGGTATAAACACTAAAATGTTTACGTTTTACAGTACATGTACATACTAAATGAAAGCATATGTCATTGGTATAACACGTTGTTACCAGGCATAGTCTGCCACTCAGAAAACCTTGAAAAAAGGTCTACTTGAATGATAGCATCTGCCCAAATGTTAAAGAACATTTTATGAATGACTTTAAAATTTAGTGAACTAGGTCATGGTTGTATCTTTAAACCAAAGAATGTTGATATTGTTTAAATTTTAAAAAGATGTAAGTAAATACACTATTGTAAATATGATATTGAATATCTAAGGTCATTGTGTCTATATACCTGTATCAAAAGGTAGCTGTCAGATCATACTCTAATTCTGGGCTTAGTTATTTTATTACAATTTTTTAAAGTGACTGAAAATGTAAAGTTTTTTATTTGTGTCCAAGGTAAAGAGAATTACTATGCATTTGATGATATTATCAATACTGTAAATTCAGAAATTACTGCATGCATTTATCATTGTGGTTTTGGAAGAATGAACAAAAATGCAAGATTATTTATTGCGATTTCATGAAAAACTGAATACATATATATGTATCAGATATCAGAATGCGAGTTCTTATTATTGCATTACTAATGCAGTTGCATTATTTTCATTAATAAAAACCTCACAAAAATTTCTAAATTTACAGTATACAGTAGCTAGGTCAGTTATGATAGATATAAGAAGATTTGTATGACTGCCAATGAGACAACTCTCCATCAAAGTCACAATTTGTAAAAGTAAACCATTATAGGTCAAAGTACGGCCTTCAACACGGAGCCTTGGCTCACACCGAACAGCAAGCTATAAAGGGCCCCAAAAATAACTAGTGTAAAACCATTCAAACAGGAAAACCAACAGTGTCTATTTTGATACGTTTATGACTTCATAGAGATATCACAATTGACATTTTTGCACTGAAATGTCCAGATTCTGTCTTGATCATATAATTCTATTCATTTAATAGGAAAATTATTCAAAATATTGAAAGGGCTGTAAATATTTCTGTTTTTGCAATTGCAGGGACCGATAAATGGCCTTTATCATCCTTCAAATGTGCAAGATTTTATTTTTGTGTGGTTGGGTTTCTGTTTCATTGAAAAGTCCTTTAAATCATATAGACTTTGATTGCATATGTGTAAGAACTTAATTCATTTAAACCTGTGGTCTAAAGGTAGCGATGTTTAGTACAAAAGGTCATAGGTTAAATACCCAGCTTTGTCAAACAGAAGTCTTTGCATTTGACATTTAATTTTGCTGTATCATCACTAAATATGCAGCATTTAGTAGAGAAAACAAAATTGAAACAGCAAAAGTTGTCCAAAATAAGAAAAATTAACTTATTCTTTGAAAATCCCATGAGACTTTTACAAATCTATTTGTGATTGATTTTGTAGTGAAATTGAATCAGTAAAACCTATACCGCTATAGACCTGAAGCATGATAAGTATAATTTTAAAATGAAATAGAAAATTACAACAAAGCAGTGACAATATTTCCTAGGACTTGCTATGGATACCCAACATGATATTCTAAAGATACTGAATAATCTATAAGGATTAAAGGAATACCTATGTTTGACGCTTGATAAAATGAAAATCAATGTATAGTACATTGTGATATCATATCAGGAAAGGAATTCTCATTGATTGAATAGTTATATACAAGTGTTTATAAGATCAAGATTAGAAATAAAGGTTCATATATAAGTTAAAAAGTTCGTACAGGTGTTCAATTACTTTATCAATTTTAAGATTGAAATAGGGTACAAAAACCTTATAGTTTTCAACATTGCAAAGAAGTAAACACATGTATTTTCCATCTAAATTACCCAAAAAGTTTTAACGTGTTGCCATCTCCTGCTCATTCTAATACGATATTTTGACATAAAGTCCCATTTCCAAATAAACACCATTCTTTTATGCGCCTCCTTCAAAAGTACATGTATGTGGGGCATTATTACTTCCAGTCTGTTGGTCCGTTTGTCTGTCCAGTGTATCAGGTTAAAGTTTTGAATTAAACAAAGTTCAACTGTTAGCTGTACTCACATCAACTTGAAAGCTTTTTTACAAATGTATGTCCATTGAATGTCATATTAGGGTTTGGACTTCAGAATTTGCAGTTCAATGAACATGCATGGAAATGTGATAGTATTGGCAGGGCGTAGTTTTCTATGGACACTTATTCTTGCTAATAAGCCCTGCCTATGATAGAAGTGGGCATAATGTTTTAAAATATGTGCGGCTGTCACTGTTTTACTCTGTTCAACCAATCATTAGCTGTTTATATGTAGCAGGTTAAAATTATAATTTTAGGTAGTAGACTATGAAGTTGTGGTCACATCAACCTGAAATTTAGTACACATATTAAATATGATGTTACTGTGTTACAATATAACTATGTGTTTTTCTTTTCTATAGGAATGGCAACCATTTCCCAAGAGATGGTACCAAGAAGGTCTGTTAATTACCAACACAGTTGTGAAAGATGCTGAAAATGTAAGAGTTTAGACATTATAACAACAAATCCTAATCCTCATGGAAATTTGACATAAAAGGAAGATACATTTCATTAAAAGAATTTAACTCTTATGAAATCTTGGTTCCAAACATAGATTTTAAAAAACTAGTTCCATATTTTGTCTCACCTCAACAAAATAGATGTGATGCTTCTGTCCTTGTCTTCATTAACAATATGTTAGAGTGTGTTGTAAGGTCGGTTTAAGGGTAAACACTAAGGTAGGTCAATGTTATTTGGTTTGCAGAAGTACATGTATCAGCATTAGTCATGTTAGTACATCTTATTTCTATGGAGATTATATTGCCCTGCCCCTTCAGTTCAGTGACTTTGGAATTATGCAAAGTTGAAATGTTTAAATTTGTGATTATGTCAGTTTTACAGGAACCACTTATGATAACTCAATGATATTTGATGTGCAGTTGAATTAACATTGGCATATCTCATTTCCATGAAGATAATTTAGACCTGCAACTTCAGTCATGGTTCATTGACTGAATGTTTTGCAAATAGTTAACATGCTAAAGTATTGCCATTTTAGTATCAACAGAGACATATATACACATATATATATGTCCCTGGTATCAACATTTGCATTTTCCTTTCAAATTACATACAAGTGAGACATATCTCTGTGTCAACATTTTATTAAATTGTTAAATTGAAGAAATATAAAGACTTTGCATAGTGAAATCCACTTTCAAATATATAGCTTGATTTTCAAGTTATTGTAAAATATATTGTTATATAAATATTTATATTGATAGGATCAAAGAAACAGGGAAGCAGCTGGTGCAGCAGGAGGGGGAGGGGGTACCAGTGGAGGAGTTCAAGGACAAAGAACAAGAGAAAACCAGTCACGTGGGTCAGGGGGTGATGATAGAGAAGGCCAAATCACACATCCTCGTAAAAAGAAAATACCAACTTATATTTTCCAGGTATTTTTTTTAATGCTCTTTCCTGATATTGTACAAAATGTGAGGAATTTTGTCATGGTTATATATAAAATGTATATTTCTTGCATTCAATCTCTCAAAGGACAATTTTCTGTAGGTTGTAAATTAAGTATTTGATTGTAAAATTAACTTGGAAACTTGTTTGAAAATTTATGTTTATTGGAGAGTAAATAATTTGTCCTTATATGTAAAGACCAATTGTAGAATGGTTTAGCAGAATGTTTATATATTTAGAATTCCTAATACACCATTGTGATATGGACAGTCAGTCATTTCTGCACTGATACATATTAACCTGTTATTTTTACTTTTTATCTCTCTCCAAAGTATTTCTAAACAAATCCAGTAAATATATTGAAGTCAGCTTTTTTCTTTTTGTGAACATAAAAGATTCAGACATTTAGTCTTTATACTTAACAGAATATTCATGTTGTATTAGTGAAATAATTTAAATTAATTGTAAAGTTTCAATTACATTTTACTGGAGTAGGTCATTTGGGAGTTTAAGGAATAAAAAAAATAATATTTAAGGAATGACTGTAATTTAGTGAGTGTAATATTTTTTCTGTCTATGAAGAAATAACATAAAAAATATGGTGCACACTGAATAACCCACGTAGCGGGTTATTTTAAAGTGTGCACCACATTTTATTTCGAATAGACAGAAAAAATATTACAGTCATTTCTTATAATTTAATTCTAAATTCCATTTTAAACCGGAGTAAACCATGAAAAAACGTTGATGACGTCACGGTCACATGACAAAATTATGTCTATGAGCTGATAAACAAAACAACGTCAGCCAATCAGAAGACGTGTTACATCCAAAATTAAGTTATTATTCAATAATCATACAAATGATTGCTATCATTTTAGAGAAAGCACAACATTCATTGTTTTTATGACCATGATAACGGCCAATGGATGAGGATGCCGATTGGTTATGAGCTACACCATGAAATGGTTAGTAAATTGGTGGACCAGGTTGAGGAAGCTTTGCCACATTGGAATGACCGACATGATATTCTGGCTATGTTACGGCAGTGTAATTACGATGCTGATGAATGTATAAATACATACCTACATTTAGAAGGAGATGGTAAGTTTTATTTAGATATGATCGTCCTGAAAATGTATAAAATATTCATTGGACATTAAGCAACCAACAATCAACCATTTAGATAAAGATGGAATGCAATACAAATGCTTAAAGAATTGATATCAAAGTAAGGATACGTATGATTGCCAATGAGAAAACTCAGACATGATAGTAAAAACACATTTACAGGTTACCATACCGCCATCAATACAGACCAATACTGAAAAAAAGTCTAATAAACCAGATAAAAAAAAAAAATAAAAAAGAAGAGAAGTATTACATTAAATATGTCTAGTATAAGCTTAAACTGCTGAGTTGTAAAAGGAAATACGGTGGGAAAATTATTCAGACAATTTTAGAGTGCATTGCATTTTATTTATCCTCCAAGAATGTTATATGTGACATGAAATATATGAAGCTACAAAATTCATTGTTTCCAATGCAATGACCATCCCCTGCAATCTTTGTGTTAATCAAACTTCGAAAAAAAAAATCTACAATAATCTCAAATGTAAGTATGGGTATTATACTGATTCAGTTATGAAGTATTTGAATAGAGGCAGAGGGTGCATCTTCACACTCTTTAAGCATTTACATGTTCGCCTTTGCAAAGAAATCAAATATAAAACAGAAATATCTAATTGTGCTAAAAATTGGAAAATATGAATTTGTTTTCCTTTTATATTTATTATTTTGCTCATTTAAATGTTTTGAAACTTAATATTTTTGACATATTATTTTTAGAGTGGTTAAAGGCTCCTAAAACAAGTAAAGAGGCTAAAGACATGAATAACAAAGATGAAAGATTGAATGAGTTAGAACAAACTGTTAAACTACTGGTATGTATTTCTTGTATTAAATATATTAGAGAATTACATTGCTTATGATATCTTGTAAACATGTCATGTGAAAACATAAATTGGCAATGACCACTGAATTAAAAAATAAATTGTTAGGAAATGTTAAGCACTTTTGTTTTGCTTTGACGAAGTCGAAAAAATGTTTTGTGTAGTTGACATGTTTAAATATTGCCATTTTAATTTCAACATTTGCATTTTATTATCAAAATTGCAAAAGGCGAGAAATACCTCTGTGTCAACAGTTTATAATAATACATGAACATGATAAATAAGACCAAACATCACAACCATTTATTCTTTTTAAGTGCCAATCTGGGCAGTGGTGAAAACATGACAAATAAAAACCCACTAAAGTTTACATTAAGTTCAAATGTATAATGGTGCACGAATATAACGTTAATTTCTTATTCCTGTTCTGGTAATTCAAGATATAATTTGGTTGAAATGCAATAGAAATTACCAATTGAGTGGAGCTAACTCTGTAGTCTGCTTTCATTTTAACCAAATGTTATCTAGAGATTTCTCTAATTACCAGACACGCAGAAACAAAAGACCTACTATTTCTAACTCAGGATGAAGATAACTTCAAAATAGAATGGTTAGGTCGGCAGGTTTTTTCGGTCATGTTTTGAAATTTTTCTAAATTGCCTGATTCTTACAAGGACTGACACTTTTAAAAAGATATGCAAGGAAGTTGCATGTACAAGAATGAGAAAAATTCTTCAATTCTGTTAAAAATTTCTGTATAATAAACACATCAGGAAATATGAAGGTTCTATCTTGTTCTAATGATGCTAGATTAACTTAATCTGTATTACTTACAGAAAGCAAAGCTAGATCAAGAATCAAGAGCAAAAAATGAAGCTGAAAGAATAGTAAGTGTATTATATAGAACTTATAAATCAGATGTGCTTAATGTCAAGATCCTATGGATGGTCAAAATATATCTTTCTCTTCTATGGTGATTTACCAGTTTTAGGTGTTGCCAATACTCCTGTGCTGCTAATGTTAATGGAAAATCATATAGTGATTTCTCAGACATTACATTAGTTATATGTGTAAATAAATTACTGAATTATTCAGGAAACTATCTCGAACATTCATGCTGCTTAAAGCATAGTTCTCTAAATTATTCAACATGGTTGATGGGAGAAACAAATGGAATAATGATGGTCTAAAGGAAATTAGTCATGTCAACATTATATCCATACTGTACATATTATCTTAATTTTGCTGTTATTTCCATTTCTCATGGGTGGTTATATATTGAAATGTACTTGAGACATGAAAAAACATTGAAAATAAATATTTCATACCAGTCTAAAAGTTTAGATTTTTGTCTCGACTTGACGGAGTCAAAAGCAAGGCATAGATATGCTGTTTCCGGTGTAGGCTGTAGCAGTGTCAACAATGTACAAGTTTATGATTAGGTCAGTTTATGGGGAACTACTAGTGGTAGGTCAATGATATGTGGTATGCAGTTGTATTAGCATTAGCACATCTCATTTCCATGGAGATTTTGTTTGGCCCTGTACCTTCAATCATGGTTCATTGACTTTAAATATTTTTCATAACTTACATGTTAAAGTTGCTATTTTAATATAAAAATAACATAAAGGCAAGACATATCTCTGTGTTAATAGTTTATGGAATTTGTAGCAATTTCAAAAGATGTATATTTGAAGGAATAATTCCATGAATGTTTAATTTAGGTAAAACAACAAGAAGATAAGATTACATCATTGGAAGTAGAAGGAAAACAAGCTGAAGCTCAGTTAGCTGTTTTACAGGAAAGACCAAAGACAGCAATGCGACCTAAAACACCTCAGGTACAGATTTTGATGAGTTTGATTCAAACATTTTGTTCAATTGTTCCTTTTAAAACTATTATCACTGATATCTACAAAATATTTACAAGACCATGTTGCTAATTTATGAAGTTTCAAAGGGACATGACTCTTTAAATCCTTTCAAACCTATTGAGTTGCAAATTCTGTTGCAAATAGTAAAGGAGGAAGTGTAAATATTGAAGTGAACTAAGAGTTAAATCCTTATTCATGAAATATTTACACTTACCTGCCTAACCTACCCTCTCTCAAGGAACAAAAGAATAACTTAAAGAGAGATAACTTGAGGTGTTACTGTATATACTCAACAAATGTCTTTGGAAGATAGAGGTCTAGGTTTATGATTTAACATATACCTAAACAGATCACTACAGCTACTGTAAATTCAGAAATTATTGCGAGGTTTTTATTAATGCAAATAATGCGATTGGATGAGTAATGCAATAAAAAGAACTCGTATTCTGAATTTCGATACATATATTTGTATCCAGATTTTCTTGAAATCGCAATAATTAATCTCGCATTTTTGTCCATTCTTCAAAAATCGCAAAAATAAATGCACGCAATAATTTCTGAATTCACAGTAATCACCACAATAGTAGGGATTCACAACCTGGTCTGGTCCTCTGTAAAATTGAAAGCTACTTATGGTCTAGTCTAATTTGACAAAACTAGGAGTTTCAGCAATTGACCAACCTAAAACTTTTGCATAAAAGGTGTGTGGATGCAAGCAGTAAAAAATCAGAAAAATGTACATGGTAAAAAAAAATCAGTCATAAGAGAAAAGGGGTTGTCTCCCTATTATTACCATTCTATGATAGGTTATAAATAGCTAGTATTCTACATGATCTAACCAGTATAATGTTACATATACTTACTACATCTCATTATATTTATACTAAATGTCGAGACATAGTATTTCTATATCTCCAGCAGGAAAGGCGAGTTTCAATAAGTATGTAGATCATATACTTTCTGTATATTTTAACAGGTAGTAACCAAGGTAGTGAAGGAAGAAACAGTTAACCCAGATGATGTTAAACAACTAAATACCAGTGTAATACAGCTGAGGAAGGCCCATGTTCATCTCAAGATGGAGGTTCAGAGATATTTTGATGGTCTGAAAGGATCAATAGGCGAGGTATATACACATTCACATGATCTCAAATAATCTACTGTGTGCCTGGAGCATACCTAAAAATTGACTTTTTTTGTAAAATTTTATGTTACAACTACCAACACATTTATGTCCCATTTTCATTTCTGTTATTTGTTGGTTTGATTTTTGCTGTCAAACTTAATCCATGAAATTACACTGATGTTGATATTTGTAGTATAGTCTATATATTATTACCGGTATTTTAAAGAGGTAAATCAAAACACATTCAGATATTGATAGTTAGAAAACATAAAATATGAGCTGTACAGGTATACAGTTTTTGAACAAAGAGAACTAGGAGATTTTGTGAAAAGTCAGCAACATCCTTTGAATATTTTAATCAACAAGATATTTACTCAATGAAAATCAGACTTTTTGTATCATCACTGAATCGTGTTGAAGAAAATGCTTTATAATTTTACATTTAAACAATATACAGGCTGTAGACGGTATGAAGAAAATGAAGAATACTGGAGCTGCTCAAACAGAAGAAATGGAAGAAGTCAGGGCATTGTATAGAAAGGAAGCTTTACAAAGAAAGATACTTTATAATCAGGTACTGTGAACTTACATTGATTAAACCCATTAAAAGTTAAATATTTTACATATAATATGTTAATTTTGAGTACAACTTCATTTGAAAAATAATTATAAAGTTACAATGTAAAATTTATAAAAATCTTTTGGATTTTAAAACTGTTGATCCTAATGATTGCAGTTTGACATGTTCTGCAATTTTTATTGTCCCCCGCGTAATGCGTTGCGGGGGAAATGGAAATACCGGTCATCCATCCGTCTGGTCTTGTTAGCGCTCTCACAGGTACAATTCTTGCCAATTTTTATAAAACTTTTACTATAGGTTAATATCAGCAATATCTGGGACAAGTTCTATAATGGTGGACGATCGACTTTTTTTTTCAAAGAGTTATGCCCCTTGGAAATATTAAATTTATGGAAAATGGCCTCGTTAGTGCTCTCACAGGTACAATTCTTGCAAGATTTTTATAAAACTTATACTATAGCTTAATATCAGCAATATCTTGGACAAGTTATATAGTGGTGGACGATTGACTTTTTTTAAAAGAGTTATGCCCCTTGGAAATGTTAAATTTATGAAAAATTGTCTCGTTAGCACTCTCACGGGTACAATTTTTTAAAAAACTTATAGTATACTATAAGTAATGCCCTTGAAGGTCTGTTTGAAATATTTAGTATACAACAGAAAAATCTTTTTTGTCCCCCGCGCACGCTTTTTATTTATAAAATGTTTTTAAGAACAACAAAAAAAGTGTTGTATTAAGTTATTGCCCCTGGAAAGATAAAATATGTGCAATGTGGGGGACATTGGAACTCTGTTCTTTTATTTTAGTTTTGAATCATTTTTTTGTTTTATGGTAATACTTTTTTGTATGATAACTCTTTTGAATTTTTACTTATTTTATTTATTAAGGATTTGATCATAGAAGCATATGCTTTTACCTTTACTGAGATACTTAAGATGCCTACAAAAACGATAACTGATTTAAAAAATCTTTTATGTCATGCTAATCTGTGTCCATTCAGAACGTTGTTGTTGATCTGAAATTTTGTTTTTATTAACAGCTACAAGAAATGAGAGGAAATATACGAGTGTTCTGCAGAGCAAGGAAGGATGACAGAGCAGAAAATTGTCTGAAATTCCTCAATGACCAAGATCTTGTGGTCAATAATGCACAGAATGGAAAGAAAATGTTCTCATTTGACAAAGCTTTTGATCCGAATACTTCTCAAGAACAAGTAAGAAAAATTGTCTAAAAAATTATTTTTTGAAAGATTTATTTCTTATCTATAGTGAAGTCATCAATTTTTGTGGGTACTATCTAAGTGGATTGAGGAAATATTGTTATTTTATAGACACTTTATTTTTCTCAGCTTTGAATATATTTGCTTACAAGTCTATAAAATGTTAGCATTATGTTGAAGACTTTAATTCATGTCTCACCTATACCTATGAAAATGAATTAACAGTAAGTGAAAATTTCACAAAAAAGTCTGGAGCTTCATATCAGGAATTTTTTGTTTCTAATGTTTGCTATTTTCACAGTAGGCGTTTTGTAACCAAGCAATTTACCCAAGGAGATGAATGTTTTGTCTATAGTACAGTGAACACTGTGAATTTTTAATCAACCCTTCTAATGCCCAAACCACAAACACAACCTGATGCAAAAAATAACCCAATAAATTTTTTTCCTGAAAATTTCTTTTACTGGTACTATTTGTAGGAATCTTTTTTTCCCCCACCGTAGCAGAGGGGACATAAAGGTTTTTCGTACGTAAGTCCCAAAATTGGTTTCCGTTATCTAACTTTAGTTTGCCTCTACCAAATGTTATGAAACTTCTATATAATGCTTATTACCACAAAACTCAGATCAATTTCGAATTTGGACCGTTCTGGAGTTATGCCCCTTTATAACATTATATGGAAGCAGGGACTTTTGTGGACTTTTCACTCTGTTTACTTATTTTTAATTATTTGTATAAAGAAAGCAAAAACATGCAAATCTATTATTCAATGTTGGAAACATTCTATTCATATTCAGGACATTCATGTTAATGCTATAGGAATAAATTCTGCTTTACTTAAATGATTGATGTTTAGTAATGACTTGAAAATAAGGAAACTTGATGTCAGTGTTTGTAGATAAAACATACTTTGTATAAAATATCCATAGTCACTAATAGTAGAAAAAAATAGTATTCATCAAGCATTATGTATTTTCCAGGTTTTTGAAGATACAAAGGGAATTATTACTTGTTGTGCAGATGGGTACAATGTATGTCTAATGGCCTATGGTCAAACAGGGTCTGGTAAAACATTTACCATGATGGGACCTGATAGCAACCCTGGTATTAATATCAGGTAAGTGGTCTTCATATAAACAGGGTAAATGATGAAACAATCCATACAATAGTACTTTTATTCATAGTAGATAAGTGATGTACATCATATTGGGGCCCTGAAACATTTCATGATGAGGCCATAGATAAAAACCACTAATCATTTTACCATGAAATTGAATGTCATAATGATGGCTTAATCATTGTTAACAGATCATCATTTCAAAGAAATAAGCATGTATTATCATAACGAACCATTCTATGTGTTATACAAATTTAATTATGATTTAAGTTTTAATTTGATTAATTGCATCAATTTTTGTCTTGCCTTGACAGAGTCAAAAAGCGAGACAGGTATGCTGTTTCCGGCGTCGGTGATGACGGCGGCGTCAACAATGTATTAGTTTGTGATTAGGTCTAGTTCATGGTGAACCACTAGTGGTAGGTCAAATGATATTTGGTATGCAGTTGTATTAGCATTGGCACATCTTATTACCATGGAGATTATTTAGCCCCGCCCCCTCAGTCAAGGTCTATTGACTTTGAAATTTTGCTTAGTTTACATGTATTAGTTTGTGATTAGGTCAGTTTATGGGGAACCACTAGTGGTAGGTCAATGATATTTGGTATGCAGCTGTATAAGCATTGGCATATCTCATTTCCATGGAGATTATTTGGCCCCACCCCCTCATTCATGGTCTATTGACTTTGAAACTTTTGCTTAGTTTTCATGTATTAGTTTGTGATTAGGTCAGTTTAAGGGGAATTAGTGGTAGGTCAATGATAATTGGTATGCAGTTGTATAAGCATTAGCACATCTCATCTCCATGGAGAATATTTGGTCCCTACCCCTCAGTCATGGTCTATTGACTTTGAAACTTTTGCTTAGTTTAGATGTATTAGTTTGTGATTAGTTCAGTTTAAGATGAACCACTAATGTTAAGTCAATGATATTTGGTATATAAATGTATTGGCTTTTGCAAGTTTCATTTCCATGGAGATTATATAACCCCACCCCCTAATTATGGTTCATTGATCATAGTAACTTTTACATGGTTTACAAGTTAATGTTTGTGTTTAGGTTTGTTTAAAGGGAACGACTTATGAAAAGGCAATGGTATTTGGTTTGCAGTTGTATTTGCATTGGCACATCTCACCCCTGTTACCTTCAGTCATGGTTCATTGACTTTGAATATTTGCATAACTTACATGTTAAAGTATTGCTATTTTTATTTCAACATTTGCATTATCAAAATAACAAATAGACGAGACATATCTGTGTGTTAACAGTTTTTTTTTTCTAAATTCTTATACCTGTACAATGTACTACTGTACTACAACAAATGAATTTGCATACACTTAATAATGAAAGTATTGTCATGGATTTCCTTAAAGCAAGATTTTCCATTTTAAAGTATAGTGTTTACCAATTGAGCCCTACATGTCTATATTTGCTTCAATTAAGTCACAGCATTCAGAAAAAGCTTTACTAGTACATATAACAAACACATGTTTGGGAAAAGAGCCACAGTTTAACGCTTAGCTTTTTCATATTTATAAAACCACAATCAACAGTACAGTTTCCAAACAATACACAAATTGATTAATTAACAATCTGTGGTATTCCAAATTTCAAAATCCTTCAAATATTGGAATTTCAACACATCTTATTTTCTACAGGGCAATTAATGAATTGTTTAAAGTATGCAAAGAGAAAAAGGATACTGTATCTTATGTCTTAAGGGTAAGTATTTCTGCAATTAATATAAGGATATTAAAAGAAAAGACCAGAAGATTGAGGCCATAGAAAGACAGTAAATTGTTTAATGTTCATAACCTGTGATAATTTGCCTTCACATATAACATATTACAGATTGCAACACTAAAACTTGATTATTCATGCTATTTGATAAAAGATATACATGTACATAGGACTTTTGTGTGAACAATTTATTTAATAATTCCCTTGCAAAATCATCTATCACTTTTATGATAATTGTTTCTGATTTATTTTTTTTGCAATCTAATTTATATATTCCAGGTATCTTTAATTGAAATCTATAATGAGACAATTCAAGATTTACTCACAAAGGAGGCTAAGACCTTAGATCTGAAGACGGCTGGCAATAAAGTCAACATACCAGGATTGACAGAAGTTGAAATTAAAACTTTGGACGATATTAAGAAAGTAATGGCAATGGGAGATAAAAATAGGACTACTGCTTCAACTAAGATGAACTCTACCAGGTATTTTTTGAGATTTCTTACACATTTATTTATTGTAAATAGGACTTTTATTTAAATACATTATTCATAAAAGGATTGATTGTTGTTTGCTTAATGTCCAGTGGCAAATATTTCATGCATGTTCAGGACGAGAACAATTGATAAAGGTGATGTGGGGTATATGTAATTGAAACAGCAACCCAACAAAACTAAAAACAAAAAACCATCTAGAAATCAACATTGAGTCTTAAACAAAAGACTGGGTCAAAATGTCAAGATCTAAATCAATCTTGAGTCACAAGTTGTGGATAATAGAAGAGCGACTATCAAAGATCAGCTATCAATACCATATTCCCCAAATGACGAATAGAATAAACATACAAAAATGGACAAGGTGTCTGATTTTGGACATGTGGTGAGGTTAAATTATTTTTTTTGAGATCTCAATCCAGTCTTGAAAAGTGGTAAAACAAAAGGAGACTTTACAATAGAAATTAGTACAAAAAAAGCAATAAACTGTATAATAAGGGTAAAATAAATAACAAAAACAAAAGGGCAAGCAAGACAATAATAAAACAAAACAAGATTAAAGAATGCCAGCAGTTACTTAAAATGAGCTCCAACAACTTGAAACTCTACTAGTAGGAGAGTTCTGGGATAGTTGTTGTTTCAATGTGGATATTGAAAAAATCGTATCACTTGATATTTTTCTATGCACATGGCTAGATTTTTACACAGGCGAATTAAACAAATGTAATGATTTATAAAGATTTCCTTGTAAAAGTAAATCTCACTGTTATAGATTGACCACCTCACCCTGATGAAAACCTAATGTAAGATGACACCACCCATTTGTTGTATTTTTCATGCAGGCGATGTTGTATTGATCCAAACACTGCATAGATTTCTGAAGTTATCACATGACATTTGTGTAAAATGAAATCGGACAGGGTAAAACAGACTATCTAGGAACTTGAGTATAGTAGCTGTATTTCAAAGAAGACTTCACATAGTAACATCATGAACTTTTATCTATTTTCTTTTTTTAGTTCACGTTCACATTTACTACTGTTGTTGGCTGTAGAAGGTACAGATAAAATTACTGGTGCAATATCTAAGGGAACTTTGACCTTGTGTGACCTTGCAGGATCAGAGAGGATTTCCAAGACAGAGGCTGAAGGACAAAGATTGGTAGAGGCAGCTGCTATCAATAAATCATTGTCTGCACTTGGACAGGTATTCATAAATTGCAACATTGGATATAATAGAAATTTTTTAGCTCAGCCGGCCTTTAATACCATGTGAGCTTTTGCCATCCCTTTGCGTTCATCATCTGTCTTCTGTTTCTGTCTGTCTGTTCGTTGTCAGGTGTAAAAAAATTCAAAGATCTTCTCTGAAACCACTGGACCAATTTCAACCAAACAAGGGCTAGGGTATCTTATATAAAGTTTGTGTTTTTTATACTTATCATTCACTATAATAGAAAGTAAAAGGATATGGGGTATCCAGCCATGACATAAAATCAGTACATTCTCAGCAAATAACAAAAAAAAGAAAAAAAGCAGTGTTTTTTATTGCTGTTCTTCATCTCAATGTGTTTTTACTACATCAGCTGCTGTGGAATTTTAAATTGAACCTGCAATAATTATTTTATACTGGACAAAATACAGTCTATTAAGTGATCAACAATTCTCATCAGGTCACTCTCTTTTTGCTCTGCTTTAATTATACCTATACAATTTGAACCTCAATTTAAAGGTCACCTCTCTTGTAAGGTCAGTTTTATATATTCCAGAGGGTGCCCTTTATATTCAAGTTTGACTGCAATCTTAATGGTGTGAGTTTTTTTTGACCAATTTGAATATGTTTTAGATTACTTTCTATTGATGGAGGCTGTGTATGACACAGCAAAACATTACAGGTAGTTGTATACTTTTTTCAAACACCTGCTGTAGGTATAAGTATAAGTGTTTTGTCAGTAGAAGATAATTTTGAACTTTTTTTGTGAATATCTTAAAAGTGCTGAAAGTAATAAGACACTGTTTTCACTATATGTAAATATCTGTAAAATTGTAAAATTTTCTTCCCCAAAATAAACACAAAACAATTCTCATGAACTTGGTATTTAGCAACTCCAAAAAACACTTAATATGGTAAAACATTGAATTGTAATCTGATGTCATTTAAAAGAAAATCATTTTAAGTGAATTTCAAAGTGGATAATGTGGCGTTCATTTCTGGCAGTGAAATAGCAGAATGTTTTGCTAAAGTGGAATATCTTACTCTCCTTATGTAATGCCAAAACAAGCAATTCCTAACTTTTTGGTTACTTCATTATAAGCATAGTAATGGCACCATGATATTGTGAAGGAAACAAAAGCTATTAAATGTATATGTGTATTACATCAGCCACATTGAGGTACAGAGTAACAACTGAATTATAGAATGACATTGCAAAGTTTGTTCCCTAACGATCCCTATCAACGTCTACAACATTGATCCCTATCAACGTCCACAACAACGTCACGTTAAAATTCGTGTGTTTTTCTAAACAACATCTAATATCATCTACATGTCTGGGGAGCATCTGATGGCTTCCACAATTTCCTTTGCAGTCCATTAAATGAAAATAAGATAGTCTTAGTTGATTTTTCATACCAAAGGTTGAAATTGAACAATATGTAGAAATATTGTTATATATTTTATTTTATTCCATAAATTAAAGAAAAAAATAGAAATGAAAATTAAATGCTTTGTGGAAATATTAATGATATCTGTTTATTTCAGGTATTCACTTCTTTAAGACAGAGTCAGTTGCATATACCCTACAGAAATTCTAAACTAACTCAGATTCTACAACCTTCTTTAGGAGGAGATGCCAAGGTAAGCATTGTTGTTGCAGCATGGCTAAATTAATTAAAAATCAATGTTAGACCATAAAATGTATACATGTTTTTATTTCGAGTATTATTATCTATTTGTTTAACGTTTTGAAAAATTTGAAATGGTTATGACTAGTTTGAATCATATTAGTAATTTTAGTTACTTTTTTATAAAAAAAAAACAAAGAACAAAAAACAACAAAAAAACACTGAATAGTCTGCATTTGGTTGAGTCTCATGAAGATTGCTAATTTACCTTCATTTTCAGACAATAACATTTTCTATTATTCTATATTCAAAGGGAAAATAATGAAATAGGTCTATAGTGTAAATTTGATTGTTGAAAATATCTGACATTTAAAACACATTTTTACAAGCTTATCTGTTCTAAATTATAAAAAAATTCTCAATTTACAAATGTCTTTTTTGTAGGCATGCTTGTTTGTGAATATAAGTCCAGATTCATATAATTATTCGGAGACAGTAAGCACACTGACATTCGGTTCTAATGCCAAACAAGTAGCATTAGGTCAGGCTAAACAGAATATTAAGAAAGGAAACTAGTCATGTTAAAGACGGAGTACGAGTCTCGTATGTATGTTGGAGGAATTTATGTAGTTGTAAGACGGTGAAAAATTTATAATCTTAAGGCCATCTTAAATTTTTGTTAGTTCTCAGATACCAATGAAGAGAGCTGCCTTCAGAATAAAGCTTGATAGAAAATTCTTTGTCATTCATATAGGAAAATAACACCAGATGTTCAATATATGTCAAGTATATTAAGTATCTGCAGAACTGATAACCAATTTTATATCGCCTTATTTTTATAGTTTTGTCTGTATGCCTTCATGGAATATGCATTGAAAACTGTAACTTTTGCTCAAGTCCTACATTTTCCTGCATATGAACATTCTTACCCTAGAGTGTCTCAAGAGATTATGTCTCACAATCAAGAAAAAGTTATCAAGCAATAACATATAAATATTCATGACAACAGTGTGAACATTTCTTCGAGAATTGACAAAATATTTCGGTCATTTTCATATTGTATATTTTTGAAATGTCAACTCTGTTTTTCATAATTTTTTTTTTAACAAATTAGGTTTATGTTATTATAACAAACAATTTTTCATACGATATTCCACAAAGATGACATTTATATTTCTTTTTTCTTCAATTGACATACCTCTAGTCTGTACGAATTCTTTGATCTCTATTTGTAATTGTAAAACATTCTATTGTTTTCTCTTATCTGATTTGTTCGGTTTTTTTATGACAATGTAATTAAATAAGACTGTTAACTACATATTGATTTTTTAAAAAGCCTTCAAAGTGATTCTGTGATATTGTATCAAGATATTAAAGTGCTGTATTTTGAATTAAACTATTATATTTTTGCTGATGATAGTTTGTTTATGCATACAGTAAACAAAACGAACATATGAGATATATTTGAATGGGGAATCTCTTTTAAAAATTGTATATGACTAATAATTTATTTGAAGTTCATCAGTTAAATACCAGAAACACTGTAGATAATTCAAAAAATTATAAAAATCTTCTGATTTATTTGCTAAGCACTATAAAGTTTACAACCCAATTAACTGATGCTACACCAGTATTGTATATTTTGTAATTAGTAATTTATTTTCTGTTATCTATATTGGTGTATTCATGACAAGACACAGAAGTGAAAAGAAGATTAGTTTTTGACCATTTACAAACTTTAAATACTAGCTGTTCTAAAAAAAAACAAAAAAACATTGGCTCGTTATGTGAAACTGATCTATCTGCTTGACTGTTATTTATGTTTTCTGATGGCAAAAATATAAGCAATTTTCCAAATTTTATGTATGAACTACATATAATTAATTCCAAGCTATTATATAAGATTCAAATTATACTGATCAGTTTCAAGAAATGTTTTATCACATGTAAGGCTTTTGGTAAAAACTTGCAAAATTGTTACTTATTGTTACAAAATCCTTTTTGAGCTTGGATTACAATGCTGCATATGGCACTTTTTTGTTTAAATGACGAAAACTCCTAGAGTGAATGTCAAAACTCAAAACTGATTTTCACTGAAGTGTTACTAGAATAATACAAATAGCAATGTATGTATATAAAATGCCTCTTGATTGGCAGAATTCCTAAGAATATTGTAAAATATTAGTTATTCTAATCAGAAAGTGTATAGATAAGTCTTATTCATTATCTAATAGGAATATGTGGGCATTTGGTTATATTGCAGTGGCAGGCGAAATTGTGAAATTTATGAATAGATGATATTGTGTAGTTATTTGAAACCCTCACCTCCTGCAACCCTTTTATGTCACTATTTTTAAAAAGCAAAGATCTAACCATAGAGACTGACATTAAACAGTTTACCCTGTGTCTTTCATTAAGTTTTAATTGACATATGTAAGTAATGTAAGTATATATTTGTTTAACATTGTCATTGTATATGTAAAACCATAAAAACTTCATGTAAAATGTCTTTTTCAATAATGGTAACATTGTTGTAAAAATTGTTTTTATTGCAATGACTTTATCTGTGATAGAATATTACTGGTAAAATATCATTTATAATACAAGAAACATAGTCATTATTAGTTGCTACCTTATCTTATTTTCCAATATATTTAAGAAATAAAATTATCGTCATTAAAATGAAAAAAAAAAAAAAAACAGTTTTCACATTTGTTCAAAATTTTATATGATGTTGAAACTGACTGTGATGAAAAATTATTAGGGTTAAAATCCATGTTTCAACATTCCAATCAGTGAATTATACTTTCACAAATATTTTATTTTCAAAAATTTAATTTGCTAAATGAAATCTATAATTTAGCTCCTTAAATTCTCAAATACAATACAGTTCACTTTAAATTTTTCATTGATCAATATATTATGAAAAGCACTTCAGAATAAAATGTATTGACCATAATGCTTGACTAAACAAAAAGAAAAACTTGTAAATTTATTGTTGAGAACTTTTGAAGGAGGGGAGATAAATGATTGTATCTTAAGCACAATGAGATAGTGATATGGGTTATTCATTGTATTATTTTGTTGTGGTGTTTCCATTTTTCAATTAATGTGTGCTTGATGTGTATAAGATTTGTACAGAGTGTCAGTTCATCCCATATTTTGGATGTAAACCATTATAAGTATTATATGTATGTCTGCTGTAGTCTTGAGGATTAAGATGGATTTAATTTTGTCTTTCGGATTATTGGCAAGGTATCATTGTAATGCTTAGTATTTATGTAATACTTATTTTTTGTATTACTGCTTACACATATACTTGTGAAAGAAAGAGGGTCATTAAGTTCAAAGTTGGCCCCATATTTTTTTTTAAATAGTTTCAGGTATTAACGAGAAAATAAATTTTGTAAGCATATTCATATATTAGTGCATATTCTATAAGTAACAATATCAAAAGAGAAAATCGAATTTATTTTTGAAAAAAAAAAGATGCAATCTTAAGCTTTAAGTACACTATGTATGTTCCGGCCATCAAAACATTTCAATGAAAAGTATAGTTTTATAGATGCTAAACATCCTCAAACAAACAAACAATTTATGTCATCTAAGGTTGCTTTGAATAATAATGTTGTTTAAATATGTGCACTTTTTACATATATTTTAAATATTTTCTCTATTTCAATGATGTGTGACCTTTTAAAAACTGAAATATTAAATCTTTAAACTTTAGATAGGTTTAATCACTTTGGAAAAGCTGAATTGTAAATCTTGGCATCTAATGCAAAGAGAATGCTCTATAAATGCTGTTGTAAGTGTCAGAAAACTCTGGGGCCACATTTGGTCTTTAATGGCACCCTCCTTTTAGCTTTCTCAAGAAAAGTTGAATATTCATTCATCAATTGCCTCCATGATAATTTGTTAAGTTTTTATTGTTATTTTATATGGATTTCAGGACATGTTCACCATATAGTACTTGTATATTTATAATGTGAAATCTTTATGTAAGTAGTAGAGCCTTATATGAATTCAGTATGGAATGTATGTATATGATTTAAAAAGAGTTCATATTTATTTTATTTTATTCAATAGTGTATATAATGGAGCAAATAAGTATTGTCATAAACAATCTGTTCATACAGGTATTTTAGACATCTAATTTATGAATTTTAACAATAACAGATCATTGATTTGCCTCTTTTTCAGTTTTTTCCAATATTTTCTTGTGAACACAGCTAAAATTAATATTCACAAGATTTTTTTAAAAGATTCCTAATCCAGACATCAAAAACAGTTATTGAGGCCAATCCAAATGGAATAATTTAGAGTGAGCAATCAAACTTTTATTCTTTATTTTTTTTAAGAAATGAATATTTTAGCAAGTGATACCTCAAATTTGGTGAGAGGAAAGCATATTTTAATTGTATTCTACAAAAATTCTGTTTTCAGGATTGAGAAACAAAATTTTAACACAAAATTTTTTAATTTTCTGTGGATTGTATGACGAGCAATGATATTTAAAAAAATTTGTTGATTTCATTTAAATGGAGCTCCCAAAGACTACCATAGTCTACTCCTCATAGTTTCCCTGCAATACAGTTCTAGTAAAGTCTGTGATTATATTATTGCCAGAGTAGTAAAATAATTTGTAGATAGTTTAATAAGGTATGGTTGCACAATCTAGTTTTTTTTTATATTTTTTACATCTATAAGATCATTTATATTTTTCTTCATTTCCTGAACACTGCCAAGAAATGTTTCATGCAAGTATAAAAGATAAATTCACTTTAAGCTGTTTTTGAGATTGTTAATACATTTTAAGAAACGTGATTTGTTCTAGAGTAAAATAAAGTCAAAAGGATATTTTTTTTAAAGCAATTTATTTTTCTAAACTATTTTTTTCTGAAAGGGAAATGACTATTTAAGATTGACGCCCATAAGCAATAAAAGAGAAGTTAAAAGCATCCGTTAAAGTAAAACAAACATGATTGATTCGTTTAAGTAAATGTAAGTCAACAAAAATAAAGTGTTCCTGGTATCTGTTATGACTGGTTTTGTTTGTATATAAGCACCTTTCTTTAATAAAACCTCCGACGATTCTGTATGGCTACTTTGCCTGACATACAAATCATGCAATGAACATCCATCCATCCACATAACATAGCTGTGATAGGTTGATCTAAGTGCTATAGAATTTCAGATAGTTTATAATCCGTCCAGAAATCATTAGCATTATTTTTTATCATTTATTTTTTCTTTGTTTATAGGTTTATGTCTGATATTTACTGATACAGAAATTTACAAACTTTATGATTGAACTTTCACCCTTACATTCCATTTAATGATAATAAAATATATTTTTGATTTTTTCCTTTGTTTTTGTCCTTCATACATATACATTTATATTTATTTGTCTTGTTATTCAGTTTAATTCTTTACATAAACAATAATTAAAAGATATATATTAGTTTCTAGAAGAAGTTCAAAGAATTTAAGCTAAATGAAGGAAAGGAAAAATTTATTTGCTTTTCTACAATATGTAACCTAAATGTATAACCAGAATGGTAGAAACCTGAGCCAGTTATCTACCCTGAATCAAATTGACTCAACCTTATTGTTTTTTCTATGATGTAAGTATTCCATAATCGGTTGACTGTAATTCTTGGTTCTTTCAAAAGTTGATATTCTGAAAAATAGTTTTGTTTTTTATCTTTTCAGTTTTTTAAGTTCAGTTAAAAAAAATAGTCAACTCGCTATTTCTGAATTTAAATATATACATGTGCAAGTATTTAAATTCTGCTCATTGAAATTGACATCTCTTCATTGCACAAAGATTAAGTTTTTTTAATGCTAAATAAACTAATTGCAACATTTTTTGTATATCCTCTACATTGTTTCATCTGTTTATCAAATAGCAATGAGTTAATAGTGTGCTATTATTGTCTTTGAAAAGTTATATCCAATAAGATTCAAACTTCAAAAAATAAATCTGTCAGTAGTTTGAACACATTTAAATTGATGAAACAGTCAATTATCTGTAAAATATACCTCCCACATCCACTGTACTAAAATTCTAGAATACGTAATCCTAAGATATTATTTGTTTTACATATTTAAAGTATTTTGTTGTATTTTATATCTGTGATAATGGTCTGTTGACAAACTAGTCCTCAAAATTCTGATTTTCCATCTATCAGAAGATAAAACTATCCATTTCAGAATCAAATGCATTCTGGGTAATATTTTCCAAATTATACAACAAAGCGTTGTGATTGGTTCAAAAAAGCCAAAACCATAGAAATTCAACCAATGATGTGACGTTATTTTCAATTTGGTGTATGAACAATAAAATTACCCATAGTCCTTTAGGTTCTAAAATGTTAGACAGTTTAAAAAAAAAAACAACTGATTTGGTGAAAATCAGAAAAATTGAAAAAATTTTGTTTGGTAAATTTATGGCTGAACAAATAGTTTGATTTAATGATACAAACTGCTGTTGGGTAAAGAAAGAGCTTCACATTTACTCTTTACACAAAATTAGAGAAAACTGTGAGGAAAAGTTTGATTAAAGTGGTAGCTGGTAAATAAAATTTTGAGGGCTGTTTTTTGTTGACCAGTTTCTTTAATAGAAAATCTTATTTTCCACTGTGTTATTAGGTTTATTGATGCAATAAATATATTTTCTGATAGCCATTGTTGTCATTTATGCATACAGATATTGCTGTAAATTCAGATTTTTATTAGAAAAAAAAATTATTGTGAATTTGAAGCTAAAACAAAAAAACATCACAATAATTCAAACTTTTAATTTGAATCTTCCAGAATTATTTGTATGCAGCTTTTCCAGAAATAGCATTCACTTTCCTGTATATTTTGCTGATCAACAATTGCATTACAAAATTTATCCATGCAATAATTTAATTATTTCTGAATTCAAAGTATTTGGAATACATATTTGTTTTTCTGACAGTATTTACATGTTGTTTTTACAGATTGTTTTAGGTACATGTTTATGTCAAAATTAGTGTCAGGTATAAGACCAGTATACAATTGACAAAGGGAAATAACTTGTGTTAAAAGTGTTTAATAAAAGAATCAAATAAATAATTGACAAATAAAATTATTGTTAGGAACACTATCTAGTTTTGAATTAAGTCAATAGACATAACCCCAAGTTTTGAATAGGCTATTAAACCACAATCACATGAAATAATAAAATGCTTCGCTGGGGCGCAGCTTGATACGACCGCAGAGGTCGAACCCTGAACAGTTGGGGCAAGTATGGACACAACATTCAAGCTTGATACAGCACTGAATTTGGATTGTAATTAAATATTTGACACAGGATAGGTTTCTGACACAGAATGAAAGTGGTCAAAGAACTTAAAAAATTTTAATTTACCTATTCAAACCATATCATTATTATTTGCTTTTATATATAAATCAGAAATAACCAATTTAAAATGGAAAATTTTAAAGAAAAAAAAGGGAAAAAAAATCCCCCCCCCCCCCCCAAATTTTTTGAACATCACCCCCAAACTCAATTCCAGCCTTCCCTTTGTGGTATGGTACCTTGCAGTACAATTTCAGATAGATCCATACACTTGAACACAAGTTATTGTCTGGAAACTAGAAAAATGCTTGTTTTTTGGCCCCTTTTTGGCCCCACATTCCTAAACGTTTAGGGCAATTACCCCCAAACTCAAACCCAGCTTTCCCTTTGTGATATGGAACCTTGCAGTACAATTTCAGAAAGATCCATACACTTACACACAAGTAATTGTCCTGAAACTAGAAAAATGCTTGTTTTTTGGCCCTTTTATGGCCCCTAATTCCTAAAATTTTGATGGAATTACCCCCAAAATCAATCCCAGCATTTCCTTTGTGGTATGGTACCTTGCAGTACAATTTCAGAGAGATCCATACACCTGAACACAAGTTATTGTCTGGAAACTAGAAAAATGCTTATTTTTGGCCCCTAATTCCTAAACTTTTTGGGCAATTACCCCCAAACTCAATTCCAGCTTTCCCTTTGTGATATGGAACCTTGTAGTACAATTTCATAAAGATCCATACACTTACACACAAGTTATTGTTATGAAACTAGAATAATGCTTGTTTTTTGCCCCTTTTTGGCCCCTAATTCCTAAAATTTTGATGGAATTACCCCCAAAATCAATCCCAGCATTCCCTTTGTGATATGGAACCTTGTGATACAATGTCAGAGAGATCCATACACTTACACACAAGTTATTGTCCTGAAACTAGAAAAATGCTTGTTTTTTGCCCCTTTTTGGCCCCTAATTCCTAAAATTTGGAGGCAATTACCCCCAAATTCAATCCCAGCATTCCCTTTGAGATATGGAACCTTGTGGTACAATGTCAGAGAGATCCATACACTTACACACAAGTTATGTCTGGAAGTTACAAAAATGCTTATTTTTGGCCACTTTTTGGCCCCTAATTCCTTAACTGTTGGTACCATAACCCCCAAAATCAATCCCCACCTTCCTTTTGTGGTATTGAACCTTATGATAAAATTTCATAGAGATCCATTCACTTAAACTAAAGTTAGAGTGCGAAAACTAATGTGTCTTCGGACGACGATGCCGGACGACGCCGCCGCTGCCGACGACGACGCCAACATCATACCAATATACAACCACAGAAATTTTTTGGTGGTCGTATAAAAAGATGTAGACCTAGTATTTCTCACCTGGTATCTATGCCTACAATGTCTAGAATGGTGCTTTCCAACAAACTTTGTACAGCCTACTTGTTTGTGATGGGTATATACAATAAAAAAATCAATTTATTATCACTGATAGCCTGTATAAATAATCCAGTTGAACATAATCCATATTGGACTGTATGCATCAAATCAAATAAAAGAAGAGAGTTCCAATGTCCCCCCGCGTTGCTGCTTGCACATATTTTATCTGTCCTAAGTCAATAAACAAAAAAATAGTTTTTTGTTTTTTAAAACTTTTTGAAATTATCTTAGAGAGTTGGAAACTTGAGAGCAATTTCTGATATATATAATATTTCCAAGGGGCATAACTCTTTAAAAAATTTTGATTGGCAATTATTTTCGAAATTGTCTGTAACATTGCTGACATTTACCTTTGATATGAATGTGATAAAAATCTGACAAAAATTGTACATGTGAGAGCACTTACAATGCAAAGTCACGTATAATTAATATTTCTAAGGGGTATAATTCTCTTAAAAATAAAATGCTCCGCTGGGCGCAGCTTGATACGACCGCAGAGGTCGAACCCTGAACAGTTGGGGCAAGTATGGACACAACATTCAAGCTTGATACAGCTCTGAATTTGGATTGTGATTAAATATTTGACACAGCATAGGTTTCTGACACAGAATGAATGTGGTCTAAGAACTTAAATTTTTTTAATTTACCTATTATGGTCCAATATCCAAAATCTAAATACATGGTTAGATTCAGCATATCAAAGAATCCAAAGAATTCAATTTTTGATGAAATCAAACAAAGTTTAATTTTGGACCCTTTTGACCTCAATGTGGACCAAATTGATAACAGGGCCCAAAAATCAAAATACATGGTTAGATTCAGCATATCAAAGAACCCCATATATTCAATTTTTGTTGAAATCAAACAAAGTTTAATTTTGGACCCCAACTTGGACCAACTTGAAAACAGGGCCCATAATCAAAAATCTAAATACATGTTTTGATTCAGCATATCAAAGAACCCCAAGAATTCAATTTTTGTTAAAATCAAACAAAGTTTAATTTTGGACCCTTTGGACCTTAATGTAGACCAATTTGAAAACTGGACCCAAAATTAAAAATCTAAATACATGGTCAGATTTGGCATTACAAATAAATAAATGTGGTCAAAGATTTTACAAATGTAATGCGCCATACTGTGCAATTAAAGATTACTTCTTGAAATTTATTCAATATTTGAAATTTGAAAAAAAAATAATATTTGAAGAATAATTCTTTTTAATTTCTGAAATCTGAAATGAGAAAAAATTGACCCCCCATAATTTCTTTTTACCCCCCCCCCCCCCCCCCCTTTTCCCCCAAAAATTCTTTCCCTCAAGATATGGTCATAATCTCAATTCAAATTTCCAATGGAATTTGCAACCATAATTACCCATTTAAATTTACCATAGTGCTAACTTAATCTATTTTATAATAGAATTTAAAATATGGTGTCAAATCTTTCATATGGTTTTTTTTTGTAAAAAAAAAAGATGCAACATTTGCAGATATTTTTACTGTTCTTCCTTTATAAATATGCATTTCTTTAAACATAATTTAAAAGCAGTGTAAGGGAAGTAATCAAAACGTTGTATGTGGATTACCTCCCTTACACTGTTTTAAATTGTCTTAATTGTTCATTAACCATTACTTTATACATAATTTAAAAGCAGTGTAAGGGAGGTAATACAAATGATGTATTTGATTTATCTCCCTTACACTGCTTTAAATTATGTTTCGTACTAAAGTATTTGTCCATATAAAAATGCTTGTTATTTGCCCCTTTTTTGGCCCCTAATTCCTAAAATTTTGAGGCAATTACCCCAAAATCAATCCCAGCATTCCCTTTGTGATATGGAACCTTGTGGTACATGTCAGAGAGATCCATACACTAACACACACGTTATGTCTGGAAGTTACAAAAATGCTTATTTTTGGCCCCTTTTGGGCCCCTAATTCCTTAACTGTTGGTACCCTAGCCCCTAAAATCAATCCCAACCTTCCTTTTGTGGTATTGAACCTTATGGTAAAATTTCATGGAGATCCATTCACTTAAACTAAAGTTAGAGTGCGAAAACCAATGTGTCTTCGGATGACGACGACGCCGCCAACGTCATACCAATATACGACCACAAAATTTTTTTGCGGTCGTATAAAAATTCGCTATATTTTTCCTTACACAATGTATTTTGTCTTTTGTTCGAGACTGTATATTGACCTCTAGATGTCTTTCAATTACATCCAGTTTGGCGTGGGTTGATGTTTGATTGTTGTACATGTTATATATCGGCGTGGGATTTGTTTATATAAATTAGGCGTGAAATAATTTTGGTTAACTGAAATCCTTTAACTTACTTCCAAATTAATGTTAATACTGAGGGAAAAAATTACATTGCTAAATAACCACTTTAAAACACATGCAAACTTTTTGAGAGGAAGGCATAATGCATGTAACATCTATTAGATCTTTTTTAAACCATTCTAAACTACTGCATGGATTTTTCTAGCATTCCACAGGGTCCAATATTCGGACCCATTCCCAATGGCAAATACCCTACATTTTTCCCAATTTTGGGAGCAAAATTCCCAAACGATCTCAAAATTTATTTTCATCTTTATTATTCATGACAGCCAACCGCTAGCTTTATGCCGAAAATCGCCAACAAATAATGTGTAAATCCAAGTAAAATCCTACCTGACTGACAAAAACAACATTGAATAAAATGCTTCGCTGGGGCGCAGCTTGATACGACCGCAGAGGTCGAATCCTGAACAGTTGGGGCAAATATGGACACAACATTCAAGCTTGATACAGCTCTGAATTTGGATTGTTATTAAATATTTGACACAGCATAGGTTTCTGACACAGAAAGAATGTGGTCTAAGAACTTGATTTTTTTTAATTTACCTATTATGGTCCAATGTCTAAAATCAAAAT